ACAAACTTTCCTGACTCACTAGGAGGCAAAAATGCAACTACTTTCCCTTGATAAATACTTCTAGAAGGGACAGGCATTAAATTACATTTTGTGATATTTGCCCTTAAACATCACAGCGCCCAGTAGTGAGGTCAGTTAACTTTCTTTTAAGCAATGGAGCATTTTTACTCCACGAATGAGACACTTTGAAGCCGAGAAAAAGTGACCAGCCCTACATCTAGATCAAGACTTGTCAGGACTGTCAAAAGCCGAGATCCAGGAGTGTAAATTTCAATTAAAATCTTCAGTCTCCTCTGCCGTCCACTGATTTTCAATATGCTCCTGGGGCAACCGCTCCAGCTCCTTCCACACATTTGGGTGGTCCTCCAGATCTTCCTAGAGGGATCTTGCGATGTCCAGTCTCCTGTAATCCTCAGGCTTGACTAGGCTTCGCACAACCTGGAGGCACCACTGTTACAGGGTGTACACTGGTAGTGTGATGTTTGCAAAAATAGGCTGTCCATCAACATTGCGAGACGGCACAAACAGCTCAGTTTGGTTAACTAGAAGCCCATCAGTTGTCCCAGCATCTAGGAAGACCCAAAGATTACCCCGGTAGCTATGGATTCGGCGGCCCGTGCTGGGGGGCAGCGTCGGGTAGGGCTGCACCTCGCCGTCGAAGTTGAGCCACACGGGCAGCACCACGCGCGGGCTGCGGTTGTAGAAGATGACCTGGGACGGCTCGCGCGTGTTCACTGAGCGCAGCATCGGCCGCGGCCGCCCTGCCTCCATCTCCTGCCGGGAGCGGGGCTCCTCCGGGTGGGACTCTCCAGGGCCGGACTCCTCCGCGCCGCCCTCGGCCTCTTCCGCGTTCCCCGCCTTCTGGGGCACTACCTCCCGGAGCCTAAAACTCGGTACTTCAGTATTTTGTCGGTTGTCAATGGTAACACTAAAGAAAATAAGCTATCTCTTTCGATTGGTTGATTAATCTTTATACACAGAATGACTTTCTAGACATATGGCCTCTAAATAAAGGACAAGGTATTTCATTTTTAAATGTAATACCATTAGTTTCTGCTGAGAAAATTTTATAGGCAACTAGTTGAAGTTTACAGAGATAATACCTTCAGTTAACCAAGTATAATAGTATAGACAATGTATCAATTGTGCTGCAAGAGACTAGGAAACTATGAGATAATCAACTATTTAAAACATTTAACAAAGGCAGAAGAGTTAACAAATTTGAGGCTATAGCAAAATTCATTTCAGTTAAATCATTTACACTATATGAAGTTCAACAAATTATGTGGGTTAACTGAAAATAGTTAACTGAAGCTAACATAGCCCAATTCATTAAGTATTATGGTGATAAGGTATCTGAAATCAACCTGTAGATAATTATATGAAAGCTTTTTTGTCATTTATCTTAAATAAGACTTTTTAAAGCCTCATATTGAAGTGCTTGTAAGAAAAGCACTTTTTTATGTGAAGGGAGAAGCTGGGAAACATTAAAAGTAAGCACATGACGACTACAGAGCAGGGGACATCCACAGCTATCAGAGCTGCTGCGCCCACTACAAGACAAAGCACCATTTTACCAGCCATGGCTCTGATGAGGCGGTCGCCTTCCTGTCCTCTGTAATCTTAAAATAAGCCTCCGGCAGTTAAGATATCGTGAATGTGCCTTTGTTCCTTGCAGCTAAATAGGATCCTGTCCAGACTGTTCTTAAAAAATCCAGACCCGCCGTATACAGCATATTAAACCAAATAATTCAAGCAAAAGAAACACCACATAGGGGCTTCCTTGGTGGCGCAGTGGTTGGGAGTCCACCTGCCAACGCAGGGGACACGGGTTCGAGCCCTGGTCCGGGAAGATCCCACATGCCGCGGAGCAACAAAGCCCGTGAGCCACAACTACTGAGCCCACGTGCTGCAACTACTGAAGCCTGTGCGCCTAGAGTCCGTGCTCTGCAACAAGAGAAGCCACCGTGGTGAGAAGCCCACACACCGCAACAAAGAGTAGCCCCTGCTCGCTGCAACTACAGAAAAGCCCACACGCAGCAAGGAAGACCCAACATAGCCAATAAATAAATAAATAAATTGATTAAAAAAAAAAAACCACATGAAAGGGGGTTATACAATGTGCAATGAAAATTACTACATAGTTGTTCAAAAGATAAATGAAGGGCTTCCCTGGTGGCGCAGCGGTTGAGAATCTGCCTACTAATGCAGGGGACGGGGGTTCGAGCCCTGGTCTGGGAAGATCCCACATGCTGCGGAGCAACTAGGCCTGTGAGCCACAACTGCCGAGCCTGTGCGTCTGGAGCCTTGCTCTGCAACGAGAGGCCGCGATGGTGAGAGGCCCACGCACCGCGATGAAGAATGGCCCCCGGTTGCCGCAACTAGAGAAAGCCCTCGCGCAGAAATGAAGACCCAACACAGCCATAAATAAATAAATAAATAAGCCAAGCATTTGAAGCCCTTTAAAAAAAAAAAAAAAAAGATAAATGAAAATGTGAGAAGTTAAGCACCCAGAGTCTCCTCAATGCCATTTTAAAAAGCAAGCATTCTTCAAACTGTAATTTAATTCAAGAATCAAGTGTAGGTTGGGAAGGCATTAATAACTCTGCTTATTTTCCTAGGTTCTTTATCTCAAAGCAAGAGTAATTTTCAGCCCATAGAGTTCATTTTTAAAGATACCTCAATTAAATATATTTTCTCTATATATACATGTGTGAATCTTGTCATAACTGAAATAGGTTATTAGAAGAGGCTATATAGTGTACCTAATTCAACTTGATAAAAACAGACCCTCCTTGTCAATTGAACCGTGAGAGCTTTGTCTCCCATCAATCTGAGGATCTGTGTAAACACAAGCTTTCAATCATTACTCCTTAAGAAAATCACCTCAAAAATCACATTAACCACTAATAATCACTTTCGTTTCCTTGCCATCCAAGTACTTTTTAAAAGCTTACACTTTCCAGCTGTAATTATTTTGAAGTTTAGCATTCATATCTTTGCATTTTTAAAGCAATATGCAGTTCTTAATATTTTTGAAAAGTCAGTAAATGGTTCTGTATTATCTTGAATTTACAGCTGACAAAAGGATTTAGACAAAAAGAGGTGAATTTCTCAAGGACACACAATGAATCACTGACAGAACTAGGATAGAAATTTTTTACTTTCTAGCTTCTAGGTCAGAAAGTTACAAGTATTCAAACCATTTGGATAAAGTTTTTTAATGCATTTCCTTGTCATATCACTGTTCTGGAAATCCCTGTAGAAGACAAAAATCTTTGCCTAAAAGTTGGTTCAGTATCTCCTCTGGCAGTACAAAATAATTTGCAGACAGTACAACTGTATCTGTTTCAGGTTTTAACAGGCTGTTAAGGAGACTGGGAATGTTTCCTCACATTAAATACATCCACTCACAGTTAGGAAACCTTTGAGGCATTAAGAGAAAGGGGTTATAAACCCAGATGGGATCCTAGATGAGCTTACAACCACGTAAACTCATAACAGTACCAGAAAACAAAGACAACACGCTATGATTTCTTATAGAGAAGTGCACATTTCCAGGGTAGTTTTCTTCCGAAGAAATAAACTATAATAAATTATTTTATTTTCCAAGTGAAAAATATTCCCCGAATAAGCATCCATACAAGCTCCATTGTCTTTATGGCTACACTTCTTTTATTCATTGTTTTTTTTTTTATAGATACCCCAAGTAAACCTGGTATCTAACACTAAAACTATAATGAGTTTTCTACTCTGAACAATACTTTCATATATTAAGATTTCTGAAAGTAAAGTGGTATGGTTTTAAAATGTAGCTTGTGTTTATGAACACTGCCACAACCCCTCTTCTCCCACAAAACATTAATTTCATAAATATTTCATATTAAAATCATGTATGTACAACTTGGTGCCATTTTATTATAATCAGTTGACAATACAAATAGCTTACTTTAATAGGTAACCAGTATTTGGACACCGTATTTTAATTCTGAAAACCCACTGTTAAACACAAATATGTTCTATTGGAACTCTGCCCAGTAAGCTTCAATTTCACATCTAAAGCAAATCTATCAAGTGCTTCATACCCTATCTTCAAAATATATTCATGAAAAATTTGCTATCAGCTAAAGCACTACATTGTCATATGTAACCATATAGCAAGTCACATCAGCTTAATCCAATTTTGTTACTCTTTGTCAATCTTTCTACATTTTCTGCTCTTAAGATCCTGACTGTATTCAACTGTCAACAATTACAAAGATTGATAACCAGTGTAATGGAGGGTCCCTTGCAAATACTGTTAGTAGGAATGTAAATTGGCAGGCTTTCTGGAGTTCAATTTGGCAGTAATTAACAACATTTTATATATACACAGCGTTTAACAAACAAATTTATGTGTAGATTAGGTTTATCCAACAGTATTGTTGGTATCCAACAATACCAACCTGAGTGAGACAAGATATACACACAAAGATCAATGCAGCATTGTTTGAAATAGTGAAAAATGAAACGAAACTGTGCAGAAGTTAACAGAGCAGGCCTGAGACTGCTGTCCTAAAAAGGCTTTCTTTGCAAGGTTGGTCCTAGGCAAGAGTCTGCTAACTTGGCAGGTAAACAGTTCTCCACACTGATATAAAGCTTTCCCTAAAGACCCACACCTGGGAAATGAAGGCATCATGGAACTGATGTACTACATAACCCAGACTGCCCCGCACCTGAGGCTCAACTGGTTTCAGATAAACTTTCCTTACTGCTTAAGCCATTCTGAAGTGGGGTTTTACTTCTTGCAGTCAGTCTGGATTTCCATCTCTGTTGGCTTACAAAAAACGACTCTGAAATTATAGGCCAGAGCCCTGTATCTGTACCCCAGATGGGGTAACTAACTCTGTGGATGTGGACAAGGCACTTACCATCCGGAGGTACAGTTTCTTCACTGTACAAGTGAAATGATACCTTTTAAAAGTACTGTTGTGAAAAAAATAAGAGGGCAACTCACTGTGTTAGCTGTACAATGTCTGTAAACTTTAATGTTTATACAAATCCTAGCAAATAACCCGGTATACAAGTGGCCAATAATGGATCCCAACATTAGAATATTTAAACCCCAGAAGCTCTGCCCAATATCCACATCATGAAAACTGTCCTATCTGTTACCAGAAACATCTGAAGTCAAGGAAAACAAGGGAAACAGTCAAGGGAAACAATTTTGTTTCACAGCTAATGCGACAGCACAGATTCTAATAAGCGAAGTTTTGTCTGGGCTAGTGTTAGTATTTTGATTTTAAAAGATTACACACATTTTCACTCACGGGGCATTTGTAGAATTCCTGAATATACCACACTGGAAAACAACATGGAGTTTAATCAATTTTAAGACAGGCTGAGCCAGCCACATGATGTGAGATGGTCTGCTATCAGCAGCAATTCAAACACCATGGCTAAAGCAATCTCCGTTTAAATCTCTCAAATGATAAATTAACAGAGAGGCACAGTCATGAAGCTATTGAATTTTTTTCTGTAAGTACCAACTTTCTGTACCAGACACATTCTGAAATGTACATTACCACTTTTAAAGGTTTCATTAGAAATAATCAGTATTTAAATGTTGTACCTAAACAATGTATTGAGTAATCATATTATATGTATAATTGGACAAATACATACATATATCTATACCTACACAAACATACATGTATACATATAGACATGTTAGGCCAAAGAGAGCTTTAAAACAAGCACAAAAGAATACTTAATTGGTTACAGAAGTAGAAACTGAGCTTCCTAAGTTATCAATCACATAAGTTACTGACCATATAAGTTTCAAACATTAAAAAAATAAAGCAAACAAGGCAAAAACTTTATTGCACTTAACAACGTAATATATAAAATAGTTAATATACATCATAAACAAACATTACCAAACTAGATATAAAATAATTAGCCATTTACGTATAATAAACATTAATATTTCAAGAAAAAAGATTTTAAATAGAATAGCTAACACTTCCAGAACTGTACTAAGATAGTATAATAGCACAAAAAAGTTGTAGGAAATAGCAATAATCTGCAAATAACAGAATTATTTCTATTACATTCTAAATCCAAATTTTATCATTTATGCATATTTCACAAAAGATGTTAAAATTAAATTTTAGAGTAATACTCTAATTTTTTGTACTTTTATTCTAGAACTATATTAAAGTATTGACATTTCAAAGAAATACCTACAGCTTCCCAGAAGAACTATTTTTAATACTCGCAGTCTTCCTGTTCAATACACAAAATATACATCTTTTCTTCTGTCAGAAAGCTCAAAATTAAGTACTCTACACCAGGCTCTTTGTTCTGTGTTTTCTTCTCCTCTTGGGTGCAGTGAACTCTAAAGACAAAAAATTAAGAAGCCTGTCAGGTCTAAAAAATATAATACTTAATTGATAATACACAATTAAACTATATAGGTTGGCATAATAGTAAGAACACCTTCACAGCAAAGATACAAGAAATCTTAAACCTGACATATACATGACTTTTATCCTTCAAAATGATACTGCAGTTGTAAACTTACTACTGGAGATCCTAATCACCCTAAATGCTACTTGATAATAAGCTACTCTGAGGTTGTTTCATAGGGGTATGTCCTCCCTATAGTTAGCATGGGCCCAGTATGCCAGAGCTGAAAGGTATCTGGGCCAGTGCTAAAAGAAAGTGACTAAGATTTCAATTGCTTTCCGATTAAACCTGAAAATGTAACCCAAAACAGCAGTACCATACATCTTTTTGGCTACCATGGCAGATGCCATGACCAACACTCAAGTAAGTGTCCATCTAGAAACAGCTGTGAACCTAGAAGTTACTGATCATTAAAAACAAAGCAAATAACAGAAGACACAAAAACATGAAAATTATGGAAGACGTAAAAGAAAGGAATATTCCCCTCCAATGAAAACTGAAAGGAGAGTGACAGGAAAAGGAATGAGAAAAGACAAAGAAAAAATTAAGAAGAAAAAGAAAATAGATTCCTGGAAAGAAGCGGCAGCAGGCCAAGAGAATGATGTCCAGAGTAAAGCAAGTCAGAGGCCTGGAGGAGACTTCTTTTAAGAAGATGACACCGATAAAATGCCTAATGTGCTCTAGTGTTTCAAGGGGAGATTTATACACTGAGGAAGAGTTTGGGGGGTAAATTAGTGATAAATACATAAAGAAACAAATTAATAAGGCAAAAAAATTATTAACTCTTTAAGGCAAACAATAAGTGTTCCGATTAAGGGAGAATCATAGTATATATCACATGGCCCTGCTGCTAATAATGTTTTGTAAAATGCTGAATACTGATATAACTAAAATAATAACCATATTGAGAGGGTGGGTGATAGGAAGTATCATGTGTTTGGATTGGGAGGTAAAGAATACATAAAATTATTATATTGTAACATCTTTGTATGGTGACAGATACAACTAGACCTGTCATGGTGATCTTTTTGTAATGTATAGAAATATTGTATCACTAAGTTGTGCACCTGGAACTAACATAGTGATGTAGGTGAACTATACTTCAAATAAGAAAAAAAAGAATATATTAAGGAGAACTAAATCCTTGCCTCCCTCAATAGATAATTCATAGAACTGAAACATGAATAAGTGACAATATAAACATGTTATTTAGAAACATGGAGATCAACACCAAAATAATTATAAAAGAGTTGTCTCTAGGGAATAAAAAATGGGAGTCAGAGTCAGAAGTCTGTGGTAATGAGTATTATAAAACTGTTCATTGTTAAATTCTGTGCTTATGTAATTATGATTTAATAAAAACCAAATTTTTACAACTCACAAGCTGATAGATTTTAGAATGGGACTGGCCAGGCAGCCATAAAGGTATACATCTGTTTGATTGTTTACTCACAATAAAAGCTACCAGACAAAACTAGAAAGCAACTACAGTCTGAAACTCACAAGATTATAAAGGACCGTTTTATGCTGACATAAGCAAATCACAGAAGCAACTCAGATTTCTGAAGGAACAAATACTCTCTTTTAATTGTCTTTGTCTTCTATATGTTTCCATAGCACCCTGTTTCTTTACTACAAGGTACTGTGTTGTTTTTCTGCACACTAAACTGTAAGGTCCTCCGGGGCACAGACTGATCTGATTCATTAAACAGTAGTTACTTAGGTCCACTATGAGCCACTCCCTGTGCTCAGATCTACACTCACTGTGATCAAAATAAAATGGTTCTTAAACTCTTCTACTATATATCTTTATATTCCCATACCTACCTAAGCACTTGAAACAAAATAGGCACTCAATAAATGCTTGCTGAATGAATACAGCGCCAAAATGAAAAAAGGTCATTAGGCAGATTCTTAATATATATTATGTTCATTATCGTTGATGGATTACCAATTATCAAGCCTAGCCTGCTATGTATAACTTATTCTGTACATTACTGTAATTATTACTAGAGATAATAATTATTTAAACTATTGTTTAACAAGTACTACAAACAAATTAAGATCACAGCAATGCAAAAAGATGTAGCTATTTTAATTCATGTTGTGCAATTTACCACTTAGTTACAATCATCTCATAGGTGAAAATTTTACATTTACTAGAATTTGAAATTAAGTATTTTTTAACAATAAAATCTTTTAAAAAGTTATATACAGTAATTCACATTTTGTGACCTTTGCCCTTTGTTAGAAATACACTTCAGACACCATCACAATTACGGATATTCATTTACTAATAATGATATTTTCCCTATCCTTCACCTCTCACCTGGACTGACCCCTGCCTCTCCATATCCATTCATATACTGTATTATCACTTACTTTTAAGTGTCATGATTAACAGTCTGATTAATGCTAAAATTCTCCAATGTACCAAAGTTAAAGCATCACAGGAACACACAGCCAACTGTCATGCTCTTCAAGGGTTCTAAATGATGCTCTGCAAGTAGTTCGATAAAATTTCATCTGTACCTGTTTCACTAAAACTTTCATTCTCCTCTTCCTCTTCTGTAATTACAGGCATACTCAGACTTAAAGATTTATCTTCCGTATGTACATTTTGCATGTCACCTGGAAATAGTTGAAAAAATGATTTTATATGAAAACAAAGAATGCTAATCTTTGAAAAAAATTTTATATAAATAATGACATTATTATAATAACAAAAATTAGATATTTAAACTAAAAGCTAAAATTGTAATGGTAAACAGAAATATGCATATAAAACTACCTATCTTTTTTAAAAGTGTTAATAAATTTATAATATATTTATACCTATGTTTTGAAAACAGTCTCTAATCCTTCCATTAAAGTAAATAGAGGAAAAGGGAAGAAACAAAATTAGCCAAACATAGATATATTATTCAATCTTTATCACACACAGCATAGGTTATATCTGCAGACATCAGGGAATAATCATGTGTATTACTTCAATTTTATTAATTAATCACCAATGTAATTCTAAAGTTAATAGCCTTGTTTTTTTTTTTAAAGACTGATATGGATTTAATGACAAATATTCCGTATTGGTTGCTGAACACCAGAATGCTGTCCAAGGAACCATCATTAAATAAAACAACCTGAAAATAAGGCAATTCTCACATACACAAGTGCGCGCGCACACACACACACACACACACACAAAACCTGTTACTTTTAGGATCATTAAATTACTCACTATTTTAACAAACAGCTGTGAAATCACATTACAGTGAAGGAAAATGTGCACAAACTTCAGAAACACGGTTCAGATTGTCTATGAACACAGGTTCTTAATTTGTACTTTTTGACATATGTACAGCCTCCTGATCTTGAAGAGGCCACGTGATAGCCTTGTTTTTGAATGCAGACACACTTTCCTGTATCACCACATATGTTCTACAAGATATATTTCTCTTAGTCAAAATTTGCCAGTAACTTTCCATTTTCCAAAACATTGGAGGTTTTCTACATCAACTTTCTGTTGCTTGAAGAAATATCCTAATCAAATTATGTCCTATCAGGTCTCACTGAGCACATAACTTCCTTGTCCCAGTAGCAACCGCCCCCCACAGTCACTCTTTGATCCTTATGCTTCTCCACAACACTTACACCACCTCATATCTTAATATATAATACATAGTAAATGTAAGCTTCACAAGGATAGACTCTGGTTTGTTTAGGTTGATGTATCCCCAGTACTTAGAAAAGTGCCTGCCATATACTAGAGCCTCAATAAACTATAAATATGGATTCAACTATCTTATAACACAGTATTTCACAGAGTATATATGTTAATAAGTACCTGCCAGCACAGGAGATAAGAAATTAAATGAAGATGAGTTTAAGCTTTCTGCTCTGAACACATGTATTCTGGGATCTTAATGGGATGCAGATTTTATGGAATGAATAGATTGCTCCAGATGCAGTTGAGTAAACTGTAGCAATAAACTTCCATTTTAAACGCAATTCAAACTTAATAAAATAATACCAATTTCCCATTAAGTTATTAAAATAGAATTTTATCTTTACTTGGAAGTCCTAAGTATTAGATGCAATAATTTTTTTACATGATTTTTAAGATGACAGATAATATTTTAGGAAATCTATTTCCATATCTAATCACATTTTGGGCAGTGGAGGGGGGTGGATTTTGAACCTATAAAATTTTTCAGTTGTTCACAAGATTATAATCAGTACAATCTACCTCAAATTACTAATATTGTTCTTTATAATCTTGTACCATGGGCATCCATATCAACTATTTATGATTTTTTTAAAATCCACATTTACAACCTAACAGAATCTATCCAACAATGTCAAGGGAAGGATTTCTGAGTTAAAAACTGTCACTGAGAAAAAAAAACCTTCATCTAGTCACATGATGATTAACTACATTTTGAGATCTATTTCTACATTAAATGAGTAAGTTTAAAAAAGAAAATCAGGGCTTCCCTGGTGGCACAGTGGTTGAGAGTCTGCCTGCCAATGCAGGGGACACGGGTTCGAGCCCTGGTCTGGGAGGATCCCACATGCCGCGGAGCGGCTGGGCCTGTGATCCACAACTACTGAGCCTGCGCGTCTGGAGCCTGTGCTCCGCAACAGGAGAGGCCGCGATAGTGAGAGGCCCACGCACCATGATGAAGAGTGGCCCCCGCTTGCCACAACTAGAGAAAGCCCTCGCACAGAAACGAAGACCCAACACAGTAAAAATAAATTAATGAATTAATAAACTCCTACCCCCAACATCTTCTTTAAAAAAAAAAAAAAGAAAATCAATTGTTCTCTAAAAGCTCTGAAAAACAAAATACAATGCTTCACCCACTTATCACATAGCCAGGAACCAAGAAGTGAACACAGAACTTCAGGATGTTTATCTCAAAGTCCACATATTAAATAAAAGCTCATGAACTTCAGTCACAGATATGTTCCTCAGGCCTTTATCCAGAACCTAATTACATTTATTTATGTATGAATAATGGCAAACCCATTTCTTAAAACCAGTACAGTTAAAAAGCAGCAAAAAGGGAAAAAAATTGCCACGCCTGCACACTGAGAACAGAATGAAGACACCTACCACAACAAATGTGACAGAAAAACGTAAGAACTGACGAAGTCCTGCAGCACAAAGCCGTAAGTATAAAGGTCAACTGCCCCACACACTTAAGCTATTTGATAGGATCATTATATTACAAAACCCAGTAAAATAACATGCTAATGATGATAACCTTGAATCATAAAGAGAAAACTAAATTATGTTCAGGATACATTGTTCTAGAAAATAGGAGAGCATAAAATACATGTAAAAAATAATAAATGCACATTGTAGAAAACAAGAAACATACAGAGAAGAATGTAGTATGTTTTAGAAAGATATCAACCAGAATAATTAACCGTTTAAAAAGTAAATTTTGACATTTAAATAATTAACCTCAGTTATCCACACAACTAATTCCTCAGAGGCTGTCAGGTCGATAGTTTTACTCTGCTCGAAGCTAATCATGTGGAATGCAATGATAAGTAACAGACAATTGCTCAATCTCAATACATACAACTATAGGACATGCAGCTAGAATACAACAATTACTTAAGTGCGTGTCTAACTGGAGCTCCAGATCCACATTTCCAATTACCTGAGAGACAGCAAATATGGCAGTTAAAGATTCAGACTTGGATTCAAACAGACTGCCATTCAAGTCTCAGCTCTATTTATTAGTTAGGTGACCTTGGACGTGTGAAAAAAGTTCGGCAGATAATAAGCGTTACATAAATAATAGTTGTTATCATCTTCACCATCATGTATCACCATTACTATTACTGATGTTCTTCCAGAAGCATGCGTGTTATGTTCTAGGAATGGTGAACAGGTATAGCTGAAGCTTAAATAATCCAAACTTGGGTAAATCCTATCAATATACTTGAGCACCTATTTACGTGCTAGACAGCTGTTACAGAAATTGAGCCTAAAAAGGCAGATCGGGGCAAATTCTTCCCCCAAATGAAATCTTCATTCTGTGATCCTTATTCTGTTAAAGTCACAACATCCCCAAGTTGCTGAGGCATTAAGCATCTTTGTCTCATCCCTCTCCACCAGCCTAAATATTTGGTTACCTGTAGATATCCATTGGCTTTCCTGTTAATCTGCTTGTCTAATTCCTACAGCCACCCGGCCAGATCCTCATTACTCCTTAACAGCCTTTTATTTAGTGTTCCTATTCTCAGTTTGTTCCCACCTACCTTCCATACTACTCCCAGATTGATTTTCTTCAAAGAAAACTGGTCATACCACTTGCTTGCTCAGAAGTCTCACATGACTCCCCTCTGCCTACTGAATGAAGTCCAAACTTCTTGGTTCCACATTTAAGGCCTGGTCACAATATAATCCTCAACATATCTTTCCACGTTAACAGTAACTCTTCAACACATCCTTTATGCTCCAGGCAAAATGGGCCCCTCAGGGCTTCCCTGGTGGCGCAGTGGTTGAGAGTTTGCCTGCCGATGCAGGGGAAACGGGTTCGTGCCCCGGTCTGGGAAGATCCCACATGCCGCGGAGCGGCTGGACCCGTGAGCCATGGCCGCTGAGCCTGCGCGTCCGGAGCCTGTGCTCCGCAACGGGAGAGGCCGCAACAGGGAGAGGCCCGCGTACCGCAAAACAAAACAAAAAAATAGGCCCCTCACACGCTATACTTCCAACTACCTTGCCTCTTTTCATGCCAATCCCTCTACTTGCCTTAGTCTAAGGAATTATTGTTACATTTGTTTGTTTTTTAATCTTTGGATTTTTCCTGATTACAAAACATATGGTTATCACATAAAAGTCAAACACAGAAATTTATGGACTTAGAAATTTCCCATCCCTGAGAATTAATCATTGTTATATGCTTCTAGATTTCTTCAATGATATATATTGTACTTCTGTCTACATTTTTTTAATTGAAATATAGTTGATTTACAATGTTATGGTGTACAGCAAAGTGATTCAATTTATTTATATTTATATATATATATACACAAACACACACACATATGTACATATACATATATATACACACATATTGTTCTTTTTCAGATTCTTTTCCATTATAGTTTACGACAATATACTGAATATATTTCCCTGTGCTATACAGCAGGACCTTGTGGTTTATCTATTTTATATTATAGTTTTACGTCTACATATATATTTATTAACAAATGAATCATACTCTTCTTTAAAAAAACATTTTCACTAAGCAATGTATCAATATATTTTGGACATATTTTCATGTCAGTATATATAGAACTTTCTCCAGCTTTTTAATAACTGTAAAATATTCCTTTATATGGATTTTTCAACGTTAAACATGTTTTCAATGTTAAACATTTGAGTTGTTAACAGTCTTTGTCAATAATCCTGCAATGAATGTCCTGTGTGTTTTTGTCACTTGTAAAGGATAAATTCCTAGAAACTGAATTGCTAAGTTAGAAGGCATGTCCATTTAAAATTGATTAAAATCAGCTGACAGCCGATTTCAAATTGCTCTCTAAGAAGGATGCGCTAATTCATTCTCCCACTCAAATTCAGATTTCACCTCCTCACACTTTCACTATCAATGGGTATTCAGTTACCTTTAATCTTTGCCAACATAACAAATTACATGAAAATCATGTTTTAAATTACATTTCTTTCATTATTAATGAAATTAAATATCTCTTCATATGCATGGTAACCACATTTTGTTCATGAATTGCCTGTTCATGACCTCAGCCCATTTTTCTAAAGGGTGGTGGTCCTTTTCTTGCTAATTTATAACAGCTCTCCTAAAATTAAAAAGTTTAGCATTAGTCTTATGTGCTGCAAATGGTTTTACAAGATCTTTTGCATTTTATGGAATATAAGACACCTCTTTTTGAAAAAATTATGAAATCAAAAATACTTTTCTACTTTGAGGAAATGAACTTTTAATTAAAGAGAAACTTTTTAGTAAGCACTTGAATCTTTTTTTTTTTTTTTTTTGCGGTACGCGGGCCTCTCACTGCTGTGGCCTCTCCCGTTGCGGAGCACAGGCTCCGGACGCGCAGGCTCAGCCGCTCCGCGGCATGTGGGATCTTCCCAGACCGGGGCACGAACCCGTGTCCCCTGCATTGGCAGGCGGACTCTCAACCACTGCGCCACCAGGGAAGCCCAGCACTTGAATCTTTATTAAGATGCAGAATAACAAATTACCTCTGCTTCAGAGGAGCGACAAAGCTGGTTACCTGGAATAGTTGAGTTACAATTAAGGATCTAATTCAGGTCACATTTTAGTGTACTTTCTTTCTCATGGGTTAAACCCTCCCTAATACACCTGAGGTAAATTCAATAACAAACCTCAGCCATCCTTAAAAGTAAATTTCAGAGTTTATGAAAATGTTTTCGCTAACTACATTAAGTAAAAAATTATGGCTAGTGAAAGAAGTGATATTTCATAAGTTACATGTGGCCAACATTTCAGATGAAAAGGAACTTTCATTTAAGTTCTTTCCTAGCTTGCACTCGGCTCCTCCGTTTCAACTGCATAAAAAACTCTTTTCCAGATGTTTAAGAAAGCAGCTTGACCAACTTACCTCTCGGCTGCACTTGTAAGAAATAAGGTGGATAATTAATAAAAAATGCTTGTGCAGGTTTCTAAACCTAAGTATCTTTGATACCTTAGAAAAAAATCTACCAGAAGTTACTTTTTTAAATATGATCAAACTAATCAATCCTTTCCTCATGTCCTCTGTTTTGGTTTGGTTTTGGTTGAATTAATATATAACTACCATTTTTAATGCAGTACAGAGCTAGGAGTTTATATAAATGCATAGTTGTGCAAAATATTGAATATAGAACAATTCCATCACACCAAAAATTTCCCTTGTGCCCTTTTGCAGTCAACACCTCCCTCCACCCCCAGTTCCTAGCAACCAATGATCCTTTTTATGTCTCTGTAAATTCACCTTTTCCAGAATGTCTTATAAATGGAATCATATCGTATACAGCCTTTTCTGTGTCTCATTTCTGTCACTTAGCAGAGTGCACTGAGATTCATCCATGTTATTACATGTATCAGTAGTGCCTTTATTCCCGAGTAGTACTGCACTGTATGGTTATACCACGGTTATACAATGACCAGTTGAAGATATTTAGGCTGACTGCAATTTTTCGCAATTATGAATAAAACTGCTATAAACTTTTGCATAGAAATTTTTGTGTGAATGTAAGTTTTCATCTCTCTTGGGTAAATACCAAGGAGTAGGACTGCTGTGTTATTTGGTAAGTATGTTTAACTTTATTAGAAACTGCCAGTTTTCCAGAGTGACTATACCTTTCTGTATTCCCACCAGAAATATATGAAGGTTCCACTTGGACCTAAAACATTTACTATCTGGCCCTGTACAGAAAGTGTGCTGATTCCCTACATCTGGAGGATATTTTTTTAAATCAAGAATGGATGCTGGATTTTATCAAATGTGTTCCTGGGTAACTATTAAAATGAACTCACATTTTCCCCTTTAACCTATTTATATGGCAAATTATACTGATAGATTCCTAACTGCAACATCCCTGCATCTCAGAATGAATGTACACAGTCAAGTTGTTTTATATCTGAGATTCTTTTGATACATAAAACTTAGAATTTTTTCACTAATACTTATAAGTGAGATTAGTCTAACAGTTCTCTTCACAATATCTGCTAGCTGTGTAAAGAAAACTAAAAACATTCTCCTTCTGAAGTATTTCTTGATTATCCTTAACAAATGTGGTATCTCCTCCTCTGAATTCTCAATGCACTTCAAGCATTAAGTTACGGAACTGATCATATCTGGACTGTATTAAAGGTATTTAACTTTAGTTCTCCCTCCGCTGCCTCAATATAGGAAAAAAATATGTTACAAGGCTATAACATATCTTCATATACTGCTACAGTGGCTCTGTGTTTCTTATATTGGGCACTAAATATTTACTATGTTTCTAATGCTCTTTTTTTTCCCCCTGAGCCTGTTAATCAGATTCCAACTTTATGTATGGTGAACATATACTATTTGTGCAATGCTTAAAAATTAAACTTTTTGAGTATATAGTCATTTTTTTAAAAAATCAAATACCAAAAGTAATTTTATAGATAAACTATTTCAAGAGAAAAGCAGGTACAGCTTAGCTAGTGAAGCGAATGGAAAATACAGTTTATAGAATGTATTACTTATCATACCTTATTCTACACATAAGTTTGATTCACACACAAAAATTACTAATAAAGTATGGTCCGTATAATTCTGGATTGATTCTATAACTATCTAACTATATCACTTTGGACAAGTTATTTAACCTGTATGGGCCTAAATTTCATCATCTATGAAATGAATTTGATGACTCCTAGAGTCACTTTCAGTAGTAAGATTCCAAGAATCTAAGATAATTTATTTTTAATATTAAATCTCACAAGGTTTTTAAACAAGTAATCCTTTTTAATAAAGAAAACATGGTGAGAGGAGGTTGTAAATAAGACCTGTTTTCCCTTTTTTAAGTCTCAAAAAAGTTACCTCTGTTTCTGGAAGACATCTTCCCTCCTGCTGGTTTCAATGTCTCTTTGTTTATTCTTTTCCTAGTTGCTTTGGTTTGTCCTTGACTAGATGCAGAATCAGAGTCAGAAGAATCAAGTTTGACCTGACGATGCCTTCTTGACTTGGATGCCTAAATAGTTGCAAATCCGATTAATTACAATGAATCGCAAAATGAACCCAACTGACAGGTGATTTAGGGAACAACAAAACAGACAAACAAAGATGATGAAAGAGTCACAGAAATACTTGTCATAAAGTACTTTACCATGATACTAGCTTGGTATCTGTTGGTATACCTGTTACATGTATATACTCTTTTAGCTTTACCTGTTACATGTATATACTCTTTTAGCTTTACAACAGGAAGAGTTCCCTGCAGCTGTCATCCTCATCTGCCCAAACGGAGTTAAAATATCCTTGCTGGGTTAAACGGTTGTAGTTGCATGGCTGGGAAATGGAGGTGTAAAGGACAAGTACCGCCATTTTTACCACCTGATAACCTATTCTTTTCTTCTAACAACATTTTATTTTCCTTAGTTAGCACCATGTACTTCAAATGGAACTACTTTATGCCTGGCTCTACGTATGGCCATGTGGCCCCGATCTAGTCAAAATGGGTTTCACATTCCCAGGGCCACCATGATTTGTTCAGAGGTGGGTGTGTGATGTGTGTCATAGCTGATATAACTCAATTTTAGAATTCTGTTTAACTATTAGAAAGGAAAATTCTCCCTTTCCACTGAACCGAAAGCTGGGAACATGCAAGGCTGGAGTTGTCACGAATCGCACCTGAAGGCAATGAAAGCAACATAAGAGGTGAGAAACGGAGGGACAGTCCAAGGACTTTTTAGTTACATCAGTCAATAAATTCCCTTATTTGCTTAAGCAGAGCCCTGACTACAGGAGTTTTCAATGAATGTCATATATGTGGTGCAGGTATTAACAACAGTTTAAAAGCTACCATGCACTGTATGTTAATTATACCTCAATAATTTAAAAAACTACAACTATGCAATAACACACTCATAACAATTTATGGGGATTATAATTTAATTGTTTAATAATTTTTTTAAGTATTTCATAATGTCTTAAGAAATACATTAAACAACAATTAGCTTATATAATATGGAAATAGTTCTGGTTTAAATGAATTTGGAATGATTAATTTATTGTCCTTGATGCTTTCATTCAACAATATTTTGTACTCAATTTACTGTAGTACAGCAAATATATAACACTTAACTAATCTATAGTCACTTTTAATTTTTTCATTTATTCCTTTTTATTTCTACAACCAGAGAATGATAGTAGTTTCCCACAGAATAAAGTCATTTTTAGATTCATAAAAAAAAAACAACAGAAAAAAATACAAGTTATTGGTGCTCCTTCCTGAAACCCCACTAAAATGAGAGGAAAGGAATAAAAATGAATAAACTCACAAAACGGAGATAATAGGAAACAATGCAGCTGTAAACAAATCAACAAAATTTTGGAAGTGTAAAAGTTATGGCTGACTTAGAATGCAGAAAGCTGAAATCTAATTGCCTGTACTGAGGAAGTCTACAAGGAAAGCTGGTCCAAGTGGAGCAGGAATTGGGGTCATCAGAAGTGGGACTAAAAAAATGGGTAGATATATGGAAAATCTACATAGGGAATAGTATCCCATTTAGCAGCCTCAAAGCTGAACAACTGACCTCTTCCTGTAGAAAACAGGAGGCTTGCTCTCTGGAGAGGCTAAACCAGAGAAGCTGAGGCTTGAGGAGACCAGTATAGCTAAGAAGGGGGTAAAGCCTCTTACTAGAAATAGGTGGGTTGAGTGAAGCCTCCAGAAGGAACTGTGAGCCTGTTGGCAGATTCTCTGTAGGCACCCAAAACATTGGCAGCTGGGCTTATTTACCACTTTCCTCCCCCAGGCAAGGGAATGGAAGCCTGCTCTCCAGTAAAAATGACTAGATCCAAGAAAAGCATGGAGGCTAAAAAGCTATATCTCCACATGACCACTCTTAATGATCTGAGGATCTTCAAATGTTTGAAAAAAGCCAACAAAATGAATGACAGAGAATGGAATAAACAAAAATAAAAACTCTGGGGAAAAAGGAGGAAACTTCAAAAAACTAAATAACATCCTCAAGCAGATAAGCATATTGCATCCAGAAAAACAAAAAGATAAATACATTTTTTAAGTAAGAAAAGATTCAGAGAACAAGAAAAAAAATCTTAGTAATCAAAAATAATCAGCAGAAATAATAAAAATTCAATATAATGATTCAGAAGATAAAGTTTAAGAAATCTCTCTGGGGCTTCCCTGGTGGTGCAGTGGTTGAGAGTCTGCCTGCCGATGCAGGGGACATGGGTTCGTGCCCCAGTCCGGGAATATCCCACATGCCGTGGAGCGGCTGGGCCCGTGAGCCATGGCCACTGAGCCTGCGCATCCGGAGCCTGTGCTCGGCAACGGGAGAGGCCACAACAGTGAGAGGCCCGCGTACCGCAAAAAAAAAAAAAGAGAAAAAGGTGAAGATGGTTGCCTCTTGAGATCAGAAGTACAGGGGCAGGAAGTGGTAGAGCAGGAGACTGCTGGATTATATAAACTTTACAGTATTATTAGTTACAACTATGCACAAGTGTTACTTTGATGAAAAACTTAAAACGTGACTAAAAAAGCATCACATAAATTTCTAAATTACCTTATTAAAGAAATAACTTACCTCAACAAAAACTGAAAAGGCCCTTGATTTTATTTTCGCTAATGATTCTGCCCTTTCACTTCTCTGGAAGTAAAAATAAACAGGAAAGGGAAAAAGTTAAAACACACAAACACTGAGTGAAATTATGAATTCCCAAGTATTTTTTTTATCAGAAATAAGATTTGAGACAGAAGGTAGGGTAAAAGGAACTAACATTTATTGGACATATATTAAGTAAAGGCATATAAACATGCACTACTTTCTAACAGGTGCCATGATAACATCCCCATGGCTGTGGATTGCTTTCATTCAGGATTTAAGGAGGATATGAATGAAATTCCTGGTGACCAGGCCATTCCCTCCTCATCTTCCTATGCCCAAAGATGGCTCCTTGCCTCATGCACTAAGATGGATGAAAACTCTGGAGACAGAAGGCAGTAAATAGTAGCTTGTGCTCCACACTGGCTGAAAGGCCGAAAAGACATAGTATTACAAAAGCCTTACTCTGCCCCTGTCAGGACTGAGGACACCTTCCACCACCATCCTTCCCTCTCCCTGCTGAAAACTGTGAACATCCCACTCCCAATCTATAACTGATGTGGTCTTTCACAAGGTTTCCAGCAGAGAACAGGCTAGCCCTTCATAGAACCCATGTTACAGAATTTTCTGAGATATGTATTAGAATACTGACCATGGGACATTATGGTTAATATACAGAATCACAGCCACACATAAAATGAAAAGAAGCTAACCAAACTATTGCCCCATAAGCAATCATATAGTGAATTTTTCTGACCTCTGACTGTTGTGAATTTCCTTCACTCTTTTCTTCTCCATCTTTAGCTTTCAATTTTGAGGATAGATTCTGAAAGATCAAAAAAGTTATATTTACACATTTACAATTCAAACCAGCTAAAAATTAACTGAAAATCAATTTCAGACCAATGAAAATCATTTACTTTAATTACTAAAAAACTAAAAGAATATTTCACAGTATCAAAACATGGTTCACCACCTGACATTAAGATCGTGGTTAGGTTAAAGAAGAGTTACAAAATTCATCAAGAAAATACCTAAATCCTCCTCACTAATGAAAGATGACATGCACTTTATTTGGTAGTGAGAAAGCTGGTTTATTCTCCTTTCCTTCAGGTTTTCAAAGGTCTTAGTAATGCTCATTGAAGAGAGTTGTTAAAAGACAGCACTACAATAGATGTTTACGTTAAGTGCCTAGGTCATTTGTGCAACCCATTTGTAGCACTTAAAATATTCAAACATCCTAAAATGTGCTCTCATTAAAATAAATGTCCGGAGAGGAAGCAAATTATTTCCTTCTTCCCAAGGCCGTTATCTCACCACTTTTCTTATTTATCTTTTCTAAAATTGAGTTTTGAGCCATCTCCCTTTATATAATCCAAAAAGTAGCAACGAATCTCTCTGAATAATGCTATATAAGATAATAATGCCTATCTAGCATTTGTGAAAACACTAACACATTATCAAACACATAGTAAGTAATCAGAAATTACTTATTTTTTCCTAGAAGTATTTAGTAAAATTAGATGGAGTAGTGGTTTCAAAAGTAAATTTAGCACGGCCGGTCTTCAGGTTTCTGGAGTAAAAAAGTTTCTCTAGCTGAAAAGGCTAATATGGAATATGGGCAGTTCTAGCATGAGTATTTGGATCAGAAAACTAAATGGAAGACTTGTGTTGATGCGATTTGTAAATGGATAAAGGAAGGCAGGTAGAGCACGTGAGAAACAGAAAGCACATGCTCTGTCACAATGGGAGAAGCCATCACTCAAGGCTAGCTGTCCACTGCCATGCAGCAAAGTAGGACCAGTGTTACCAAACCTCTCACTTTTAACAGAAGTTGGATGTCTGGAATTTTAAGTTAAGTCCACAAATATTTAAATGTTGGTAATTAATTCAAATTTTTTAAATATTAGGAACAATGTTATGCAAAGAAAAAAAAAAGTATGTGCAGGCTTTGGCCCAAAGACTGCCAATGTGTAACCTCTGGAGAATGCTAAATTATAAAGATTGTAATAAATCCATGGTACACCAAGACTATTTATTCCTCTATAATTATGTATACTACATAGTGTACGTGTGAGTGTATAATGGATATTATTTAGCTATATATTATATAATTACAATTATTAATTATAATTATTTAATAATATGCTACATAATTACATATAAAATCCATTTGTAAGATTAAATAAGATCACATGGCTAATAACTGGCAAAGCTAATACTAAAAAAGTAAAGCACTTGAGATCTTAGCTTCACAGGAGGTAGCCACTAAGCAAGGCTGCCTCTCAACGTCCTCAGTCACGTATAGCCAGTCACGTATGATGCAAATGCAAAGGTGACATATCAAACAGTTACAAACCTTTCTGTCTTTGTGCCATTGCTGATGCTCCAAAACTATGTTCTTGATATTGTCAAAAAAATCATCCTTTATCAAGCTGAGGGCTTTGTCTGGATTGGATCTATCAGCTGAAATTATATGTTTCATTCTCTGATAATGGTCATGAACATTCAGCATTTCCTAAAAGTGAAACGATGAGTCCTTTAATTCAATTTTCAAGGAGAAACTTAAAGGCAAAACCATAACAAAATAAAATCACCTTCCAAAGTGACAGAGTTGAGAAGGAATAACATACTACAGTATATTGAAAATGATATAACTATGCAAACTAGTATAACATTATTAATGAAGAGTCTGCTTTCCAGAAGTATGGAATCATTGAGTTCAACTCAACAAACATTAGGCAATACACACTGTATGCAGAAACGATGGCGAGAGACTAGTTAATATAAGATTGCATTCCTAGATGTAACAAAAATGATTTATAGTATAGCATACCTTTAAGTATTTCTCCTGATAACTAAGATCACATTTTTATTTCATATTGTCACATGAAGGGTATTTACACAGTTCTTTATGCTCAGCTGGAAATTCCTACCTAATGACTCTCTCCCAATCCTCCACAGAGATGGGCTGACGTTCACGAATCTCAAAGCTCTGTGCCTGTCCCCATAAGCTTCCTCATTACCTCAGTGATAAGATTCAAGATTAAATGAAATAGTGATTTATGACACCATTTGAGGCATCATTTATTAGACCTTCCTCCCCCAGAAAACTCCAGACAAATGGGCAGGTATACAGGGTAAAGAGAAAGGTAGCATAAATATGGTAGGCGGACTTAAGAATCACATAAAACCAGCACTGGGACTTGGCTCACAGACCAGCAGAGAACTATCCATCACAGATGGTCAACAACCTCTGAGTCATCCCCAAGATAGGCTACTCAATGCCTTTCTAGGAGATTTTGACGGACTCCATCGATATCTGTTCAAGCAATTCAAAACTGCTCAGGAGTGGCGAGTGCTCACATATGCAAGATCTTCAAGGGGGAAGAGTGTCCAGACATAGGAAGCCCCTAACTTTTTACCCGGTACAATGTGCTATATTCCCATTATTTTACATGCACTACAATACAGGGCAAAGACCACTAGCTGGACCTGGTTTTGAGCCTGAATTCCGGCACCTGCTAGATTGTGGTCTTGAGCAAATCCCTCAGTCTAAGAATCACGTTCCACATTTGTACAAAATGAAGTAACGACGCCTAATGAACTATGAAAGTATTAAGTGAGCGTATACAAGTGGAAGTATTCTGTATGACGTAAACCACTATACAAAATCAAAGGATTAAGAAATAAAAGACAGTGTATGGGCTTTGGAGCTTTACACACCTGGACATTCAAATCCAGTGTCTGTGTCTTACTTTATGCAAATTACTCAACTTCTTGATCCTCAGTTTCCTTGTTTTAATTTTTATTTATTTATTTATTCTTATGGCCATGCCACACAGCAAGTGGGATCCTAGTTCCCCGACCAGGGATCGAACTCGCGCCCCCTGCAGTGGAAGTGCGGAGTCTTAACCACTGGACTGCCAACGAAGTCCCTCAGTTTCCTTGTTTTTAAAACTGGGAAAATACTATCTCTTCTGCAAGGTTATTATGATGATTGGTGAGATAACATACAAAAAACATTCAGCATAGTTCCTGGCACATGGTGAATACTGAACATGTAATGCCATTAATATAATTGTAAATATAAATGAAGAAACAGATTCAAAAGTGAAATGATTTGCTAAACGTCATATTTCAGTAGCATATTTAAGTAGCAGACTTGGAATTAGAAGGCAGATGCCTTAAAAAATTTGTAATTATGTATGGTGATGGATGTTGACTAGATTTACTGTGGTCATCATTTGGCAATATATACAAATATCAAATCCTTATGTTATACACCTGAAACTAATATAATGTTATATCAATTATACCTCAATTTTTTAAAAAAATCAGATAATTTGATTCAATATCCTATTCTCTTGTTTTATTATACCTCCTTAACCACAAAAGAGAACTAATGAGCGGCAGAATCATGACCAGAATTCACGTATGCTGACATGAAGACTTAATAGCATTTGTAGGCAGTAGAAGGAAAACAGAAAAGTATTAAATTTAGGGATTATCAGTGAAAATGGGTCATGGGCTATGCTAGGACAGGACAAATAAAGCCAACACAGGTATTGAAGGAAAAGGCTACCAAAGATAAAGATGCCAGATAAAGTCAGGATGACTTCACACAGACTACTCCATTCTCAGAAGCTTCTAGGAATAGGCATTTCATAGCCTTGCCCTTCTGACCCTCCTCTCAAATCACCCTAAAAGATATGGCTTTGTGTATCACCCCAGCTCTGTTCTCTAAAATCTCCCATACCTGCTTGCCGACATATACAATTTATTTAACAGAGGAATCTTTACCTCAACACATTGTAGTAAAAGAGCTTAAAATGAAGAAAAAAAAAAGTTTAGCAATGTATGTTGAAAAAAATAACATTCTACCACTAAATTAGTCAACAATCAAAAATTACAACCAACTGGGTTCAAATCATCTTCTTTTCATTGGGAGAATACTGATAAGAAAAACATCTTACTGTTATAGAACATTCTCTGCCTCTCTCTTTATAATTTACATCAGTACTTCTTGGCAAATCCTTTCTGGTATCTCAGCATCTTTCACTCTCCGCGACGGCTATTCCAAACTTTCTCAGTTCTTGGTTCTGGCAGGAGGCCTCTTAAAGTTCAGGCTATCGGGTCTGTTTGCCTTCTACTTCTCTTCTTCACAACCAATTATAGGAATCCATTTTCACCTCCTTCCCTAAGGTTTCAAAGGAGGAAGTGCCTTCTCCTGCTCAAGGCTAATCTCTCCACCAGGCTCTTGGTCACAGACCCACCACCTCACAGCAGGGACTGTGCTGCTTCTCTTCTACACAAACCCTCCTTCTAACTGGCTCCTTACCCCAAACCTAAATATACACTCTAAGTCTCTCCAATCTCTAAAACTTCTAAATGATTCCCCTCTGCCAAAAAGACAAAATACAAATTCCCTCTATTACACAAAGTTCTTTTCTCACATTTATTTTTCTACATAATCTTCTCCCACCTCTTTCTTGCTCAGCTGCTAGAGGGCAAAGATCCTAATTCTTGTTATACTTCACGAGATGTCTGCAAATGATATATTTCCAACCCCAGTCCCAGCTCAGAGAAGGCCTTTGCTATCCAACAAATAGGCACTGCAGCCATACAGAACCTTAGCTCCATCACTTCCTAACTTAATGTCTCTGTGCCTCAGTTTCCTCAACTTTAAATCAGGGATAAAAACACCTACTTTAAAAAAAAATTAACAAAAAAGTTTTAATTGTTTAAAACACCTAATTTGCAGAGATGTTAAGGAGTAAAATAATATACACAAAACACCTTGTAGAGCTCCTGCACTATACCATGTCTTTAGATATTTAGCAAACAATTTCCCTCTAACTGAGTAATTCTTACCATTTTGGGGGACATGAATACCTTTGCAAATCTGAGGATAGAGTACCTCACCCTAACCAAGCGTCCATACGTATAATAATTTTCAATACAATTTAGGGGGGAAAGGGATCCATGAACCTTTCAAGGCCATCCATGGACCCCAGATTAGCAATTCTTGCTCAAAAATAAAGTCAGTATACAGAGCAGACCCAGAGCATTTTCAAAAATCAATTTGCTATCTGAATTAGAAAATCACAGATGCAACCTAACGGCTGAAGTTATTAAAACACGGCAGCACCCAGAACACAGAGAAACATTTGAGCAAATCAAACATCTGATCCCTCTTTCATTCCTGATATAGGAAAAGACTGAACAGGGCTCAGGGGAAAAGCAGTAACATTTACTAAGAAGAGTCTACTATGTGCTATAGGCCACACTCAGCACTCTTCAGGTACAAGTTGGTCTCAATTCTTACAACTGGATGAAATAAGGGTTGCAATCCTAATATTAAAGAGGGGGAAACTAAGGCTCAAAGAAATGAAAAACACATGACTAAGGCCCCCACCTGCTCGTGCTCGCTCTGCGCACTCTCTGTGTACGTATGAATCCATTCTTTTGAAAAGAGAATGGATCACTGATCAGAAGGCTGCAGCCCTTTAGTGAGGTTTTGTTTTAACCTCAGGGCAACATTTCCTCTCAGGTAAAACTCTGTATCACTACTTATCAATGCAAAAGAAGATTTTTCTCAACACCGCACAACTCAAAAAAAATACCAAAATATATTAGATGGAAAAGCTGTTTTAAGACCGTACCCCTTATCCATTATTCTTTTTTTTTTTTTAAAATGTATTTATTTATTTATGGCTCTGTTAGGTCTTCGTTACTGTGTGCAGGCTTTCTCTAGTTGTGATGAGCGGGGGCTACTATTCATCGCTGTGCGCAGGCTTCTCATTGTTGTTGCTTCTCTTGTTGCGGAGCACAGGCTATAGGCGCGCAGGCTTCAGTATTTGTGGCACTTGGGCTCCGTAGTTGTGGCTTGTGGGCTCTAGAGCGCAGGCTCACTAGTTGTGGTGCACAGGCTTAGTTGCTCCGCGGCATGTTATCCATTATTCTTGACTTCAAATTTTCGTTTCACCGAAATAGCTTCACCGTTTTCAGTGGTGGGTTTTTACACAAGCATTGTAAAAAGGAACTTAGGAAATGAACACATATTATTAAAAAAAATAATGTCACTAAATTCTTGTTTTATGACCTATCTAAAGTCAAATACAAATGGTGGTTTCAGTATTTGAATCTAAATATCCTTAGTCCAAGACAAGTCTTCTACATCTTTCTGTTTCTCACTGTGTTTCAAGATTTATTCCAGAAATTTTGATATATTTAGGATGTAACATTCCTGACACTTTAGAGAAAGTAACAGCATTCTATGATTGGTTAAAAGCATTAGAAAAGTTTTCAGTATCCAGTAGATGAAGGTATAACCTCAATATGTAGTTAATAAAACAATTTTTTAAAAAAATTCAGGAACATAAGAACAAATTTACCTCTAGTACATCAGAAGTGATAAGTTTCATCACATGATCACTTGGGTCCTTAAAGTCTTCAGTAACTTCAGGTCGTTGAATTTTTTTCTTCATTCTGTATGACAGCTAAATAATAATGAATATCTTTAAAATAGATGTCTTTTATAAGATACATTTTAAGTACTGAAATAAGTAAGCCAGCAGCAAAAACTGTCTATCAGTAAACATGGATGAAAAAAAAAGCAGCTCTAAGTATATATTTATTAAATAATCCATGTTTCAAAGACTGTTAGACTTTTGAAATAACGCAACTTGTGGGATTTTAGTTCACCGACCAGGGATTGAACCCAAGCTCTCGGCAGTGAGAGCGCGGGGTCCTAACCAATGGACTGCCAGGAATCCCCAACACTGTTTCCTATTTTAAGAAGCCTTTCTTCGAGTATTGGAAACTATATAATAGTCTTTCCACTTTCTGGAGACTTAGATACTTTATGGACAATAAAGCATAATTTCTCATTTTGAGAAACAATCTATTTTAGATAACATACCAATGTAGGCATTGCTGTAAAGTGAAATGCTCTGTCTAGTCGTAGCTTCCTAAAAATATAAGCTGCATCAAAATGTTGTGCATTTATCAAATCTTGCTGAAATTTTAAAATTTCATCCCAATCCTTCACAGCAACTCTAATCTGCAAACAAGAGGAATAAAAAAGTTGTTAGTAAATCTTTTTTTACAAATGTATTATAATTTTGAAGCACTGGCATTTCTATTTAAATCAGTTGGTTGTGAAAATATTGTACCTGTTTCATATTTCTGCTGGAAGAAAACAACTCACCGAATATTACCTTTTGTTTTGGTTGACACAGTTGGGTGTTATATAATCCATACAGTAGATACAAAGCACAAACTCTGATTTGGAAGGTGTATGGAGGTAAAAAATATCTCCAAGCCAAAGCCAAAGCTTCCTTTGTAAACGCGTTCTTTTCTAAATTTCTCATTCTACCACTAGAAAACAAAGAGAAAATATATTATGGCTGTGAAAAAAAATAACAGAAGAGGTATATACTTGTTTAAATAGCAGCTGCTAGAAAGTGGATGGGCATTCCACAGCTGATCCTTTCATGATTTAAGCACGAAGACCTAATTTTCTGCTGTGCTTCTTACACTGAGACACTAGGTAAACATGATGCATCTTCCTAAAGCATCAAATTTATTGCTGAACTGGGAGCAAAAGGAGTGGGGTTATAAATTATCACTGGTTAATAATTTAAAATATTTAATATATAAAATAACCATGGTAGGGGGCTTCTCTGGTGGCGTACTGGTTAAGAATGCGTCTGCCAATGCAGGGGACACGGGTTCGATCCCTGGTCCGGGAAGATCCCACATGCCGTGGAGCAACTAAGCCCATGCACCACAACTACTGAGCCTGCGCTCTAGAGCCCACGTGCCACAACTACTGAGCCCACGTGCCACAACTACTGAAGCCCGCGTGCCTAGAGCCCATGCTCCACAACAAGAGATGCCAACACAATGAGAAGCCCGCGCACCGCAATGAAGATTAGCCCCCGCTCACCGCAACTAAAGCCTGCACATAGTAATGAAGACCCAAAGCAGCCAAAAATAAATAAATAAATATATTTTTTTAAAAAAAGAAAGAATTGGGGTAACCCCTGAAAATTGATTCTAAACTACCACTTTTCCCAAGAGGGATACAGTGAAAGATCATGGGTTTCAGAAACAGTAAGACACACTGGTTTCAATATCTACTCTACCACCTAGTTGCGTGATCATGGAGAAATTACTTAACCTTCTTAAACCTCAATTTCCTCATCTATAAAACAAGGATAATTACTGATCTCAGAGTTGTTCTATGGATTAAATACAGCTATAAATGCATTACATTTACTACCATTAAAAAAAATTAGTTCCTCCCCTTTCATTAACTGTACAACAAACAGTTCTCCATTCTCCATCCCCTACAATGTACAAACTACACAGGTAGTTATTTTACATCAACTAAGAGAAAAGAGAGAACGTTTACATTTTATTCAGCAAAACACAGAGTTTTAATCACAAGGACTCATTCATTCATTCAATTATTTAGTCTTTTCAATATTGTAAGTATTATGCTAATGAAATACCAGATTCATCCAGTCACTGTCCTCACAGAGCTCAATCTAGTGGAAAGTAAATTTAAAAATAATAATAACAGTGAATATTTATTGAGCACTTAGAGTGCACTTACCATATAATCACAGTTAGTGGACTCTGATCAAATTCAGGCAGTTGGACTCCATTATCTATGCCCTTAACCACTACACTATACTGCCTTCTGAACTACACACTTATAATAAAATGTGGTTAAGTCAAGAGACAGGTCTTCCCTGGTGGCGCAGGGGTTGAGAGTCCGCTTGCCGATGCAGGGGACACGGGTTCATGCCCCGGTCTGGAAAGATCCCACATGCCGCGGAGCGGCTGGGCCCGTGAGCCATGGCCGCTGAGCCTGCGCATCCGGAGCCTGTGCTCCACAACGGGAGAGGCCACAACAGTGAGAGGCCCGCGTACCGCAAAAAAAAAAAAAATGTCAAGCGATAAAATAAGCACAAAGTGCTAAAAGAGAAAGAGAACATGAACACCTTATTTAGTCTAGAAGGGCAAAGGAAGCCTTCCCTGAGGAACTGTCATGTGGGCTTAAACCTGAGTGAAGAATAAGGTACCCAGGCAAAGGGAGCTGGAGGTAAAGCTCTAGGCTGAGGAAACGCCTGTAGAGGGCCGCGTGCAGACGCTGCAGCAAGAAAGCGAGTGCATGGAGTGGACTGTAGATGAAGCTGCAGCGATGGGCAGAGGCCAGTCACGAAAGGTCTTGCCAGCCATGTTAGGGAATTTGAGCTGCACCCCAAGGGCAATGGAAACCACTGAAGAGTGGAAAGCAAGGATGTGACGTGAGCAAATTTGCACTTTAGAACTTCGGCGGTTGTGTGAAAAATGAAATCTATCATGCAGGGTTTTGTCTTTGCTTGTGTGTTTGTTTTTGTTTTTAAACATGGAGTTCTAAGAAAACGAGACTAGAGGAGGGCAAAAGATGGTGACCTAGGTCCGGGTGAAGCAGTGGAGGTGCTTAGAAGCAGTGGAAGAGTTTAGAAGGGCGGCCAAGTAGAGGTATACGTATTCGGGAGGAGGCCGCAAATGGAAGGAACCCAAGCCAACGAAATCGCCCAGGGGAAGCGCGCGGCCAAGTACAAGTGAGAGCTCAGGGGAGATGGAGGCAGTGTTCAGAGACTGCCGCTTTTCTCAGCCCTTCCCAGGTGCGGCGAAGCGAAGGGGAAGGAAGAAACCTGTCACGCCGCCTCTGAGCGGGGAGGCAGGCGGGTAGTGGACAAGAAACACCCACCAGAAGATGGTCCCGAACTTCATACTCCTCCAGAGGTCGGTGAAGTCCTCGAAGCGCACGCTGTCCATCTCCTGGAAGCGGCTGAGCAGCGCCTCGCAGTCTGCCTTCAAACCTGCAGTAGCCCCCATAGCTGCAAAGCTAGGACGCCACGCGCGGTCCACCAGCCGATGGTAGCCGAGGAAACCTGGCTCTGAGCCCCGCCCCCTACGACAGGACGCACACACCCTCCGTGATATCCGGCCCCGTGACGTTATATCCGGCCCCGGCAGCTCCACCTCCAGCCGGGTCCGCCCAATACCGCGCGATGTTAACTGCCCCTGCGTTGCCGCATTTGCTTTTAGCAGCTCAGCTGTCTTAGAGGAGTAAGATGGACGTGTTTAATTTCAGTAGAGAAGTTTACATCTCAAGTGGCCTGTGAGCCCAAGAAGGATTTTAGGTCAACGTGAGGCTAGCTTATACAAATCGATATTACCCTTACTGTCCCTCTCCTTTAAAGAAATCCTAGAGTGACAGAAGTCAAGTTTTACAGCTAAGGAGGAAAAATTCCTAACCTCAAACCACCCTCACGGGGAAAGAGGATCTAAAGAGGGTTTACTGAGAAGCAGACTGGACTAATTCTCTTACAGTCTGTACCCACATAATACGGTGCTCAATGTGTGGCTCTCGTTGTATCGCTGACAGTCTTCTGCAGCCGCTCTTGAGAAGCTCTTCTAAATATCTCCCCAGCACCACCACAATCTAGCACAGTACTTAGCAGAAAGTACTGTATCGGCTTCATGTATACTTAATTGATTATTTGGTTGACTTGGTCTTGTGTGTACACACCATCTCCTAGCTTCTCTCAGGAGCTAGCTATCAAGTAGTATTTTGTACCTTTCACTATTTCTCTGATTGCATGTCATGCTATTCTTATTCTTTAAGGAGAGATATCCAAAAAACACAAGGGCTTTCTGTCTGTAGATGCGGTTCAACTCACTTAACTTTCCTGATATTGATCTTTTGTAAAAAAAAAAAATTTTATGTAATATGCATTACAGGAAAACTTACGTAACATGTCTGAGTAAAAAGCATAGCAGGAATACAAACACGTATGTACCTTCTACCTGTATAGGAACCAGAACATGACCAACACCGATCACATCAATCTCTAAATTCCTCCTCTAACCTATTCTCCTGCCTCTGCCATTAGTTTGGTAATGACCACCTTATTTTGTTTCTCATTCTCTTGTAAATATTTTATCACACGTGTACGGATCTCTAAACAATATATTGTTTAGTTGTGGTTGATTTTGAACTTTATTAAAATGGTATTGAAATTGCTTTTCTTCTTCTTCTTTTTTTTTTTTTTGCAGTACGAGGGCCTCTCACTGTTGTGGCCTCTCCCATTGCGGAGCACAGGCTCCGAACGCCCATGGCTCACGGGACTAGCCGCTCCGTGGCATGTGGGATCTTCCCGGACTGGGGCACAAACCCGTGTCCCCTGCATTGGCAGGCAGACTCCCAACCACTGCGCCACCAGGGAAGCCCCCTCATTGTAGTTTTGATTTGCATTTCTCTAATGATTAGTGATGTTGAGCATCCTTTCATGTGTTTGTTGGCAATCTGTATATCTTCTTTGGAGAAATGCCTGTTTAGGTCTCCGGCCCATTTTTGGATTGGGTTGTTTGTTTCTTTGATATTGAGCTGCATGAACTGCTTGTAAATTTTGGAGATTAATCCTTTGTCCGTTGCTTCATTTGCAAATATTTTCTCCCATTCTGAGGGTTGTCTTTTCGTCTTGTTTATGGTTTCCTTTGCTGTGCAAAAGCTTTGAAGTTTTATTAGGTCCCATTTGTTTATTTTTATTTCCATTTCTCCAGGAGGTGGGTCAAAAAGGATCTTGCTGTGATTTATGTCCTAGAGTGTTCTGCCTATGTTTTCGTCTAAGAGTTTTATTGTGTCTAGCCTTACATTTAGGTCTTTAATCCATTTTGAGTTTATTTTTGTGTATGGTGTTAGGGAGTGTTCTAATTTCATTCTTTTACATGTAGCTGTCCAGTTTTCCCAGCACCACTTATTCAAGAGGTTGTTTTTTCTCCATTGTATATTCTTGCCTCCTTTATCAAAAATAAGGTGACCATATGTGTGTGGGTTTATTGATGGGCTTTCTATCCTGTTCCATTGATCTATGTTTCTGTTTTTGTGCCCGTACCATACCGTCTTGATTACTGCAGCTTTGTAGTATAGTCTGAAGTCCTGGAGCCTGATTCCTCCAGCTCCGTTTTTCTTTCTCAAGATTGCTTTGCTTATTTGGGGTCTTTTGTGTCTCCATACAATTGGTGAAATTTTTTGTTCTAGTTCTGTGAAAAATGCCATTGGTAGTTTGATAGGGATTGCATTGAATCTGTAGATTGCTTTGGGTAGTAGAGTCATTTTCACAATGTTGATTCTTCCAATCCAAGAACATGGTATATCTCTCCATCTGTTGGTATCATCTTTAATTTCTTTCCTCAGTGTCTTATAGTTTTCTGCATACAGGTCTTTTGTCTTCTTAGGTAGGTTTATTCCTACGTATTTTATTCTTTTTGTTGCAGTGGTAAATGGGAGTGTTTCCTTAATTTCTCTTTCAGATTTTTCATCATTAGTGTATAGGAATGCAAGAGATTTCTGTGCATTATTTTGTAACCTGCTACTTTACCAAATTCATTGATTAGCTCTAGAATTTTTCTGGTAGCACCTTTAGGATTCTCTATGTATAGTATCATGTCATCTGCAAACAGTGACAGCTTTACTTCTTCTTTTCCAATTTGGATTCCTTTTATTTCTTTTTCTTCTCTGATTGCTCTGGCTAAAACTTCCAAAACTATGTTGAATAATAGTGGTGAGAGTGGAAAGCCTTGTCTTGTTCCTGATCTTAGAGGAAATGGTTTCAGTTTTTCACCATTGAGAATGATGTTGGCTGTGGGTTTGTCATATATGGCCTTTATTATGTTGAGGTAAGTTCCCTCTATGCCTACTTTCTGGAGGGTTTTTATCATAAATGGGTGTTGAATTTTGTCAAAAGCTTTTTCTGCATCTATTGAGATGATCATATGGTTTTTCTCCTTCAATTTGTTAATATGGTTTATCACACTGATTGATTTGTGTATATTGAAGAATCCTTGCATTCCTGGGATAAACCCCACCTGATCATAGTGTATGATCCTTTTAATGTGCTGTTGGATTCTGTTTGCTAGTATTTTGTTGAGGATTTTTGCATATATGTTCAGCAGTGGTATTGGCATGTAGTTTCCTTTCTTTGTGACATCTTTGTCTGGTTTTGGTATCAGGGTGATGGTACCCTTGTGGAATGAGTTTGTGAGTGTTCCTCCCTCTGCTATATTTCTTCCAGAGTATGTTGACTGTTCTTGGACCTTTGCTTTTTCATATAAATTTTAAATTGAACTTGTCGAATTTCTCTAATAGTACCATTGGGATTTTGATTGAATTGCATTAAATCCATGTCACTTTGAGAAGGATAACATTTTTATCATACTGAGTCTCCCTGTCCTATAAGTATTTAAGTAATCTTTAGCATCATCAATAAAGTTTTATAATGTTTCCTGCATGTGGATCAATTCCCTGAGCCTATGCACACAGCCACAGTGTGATGATAGTGGTTTTAGCAGGGCTCTCTTTGACTGTCTCTTGCCCTGGTCTTTCTGTTAAGCTGTCTGCCTCTTTTGGTATCACACCCAGCTAGTAGATTCCACTAAATGCCAGCTGATTGTTCTACTGCTTTTGACAATGTTCTACTGCTTTTGACAATGTCCTGGGGCATGAACTGCTTCAGAGTTCAATTATATTTAGGTTCCTTTGCAGAGATGGCCATTGAATGCAGTCTCGAGGTTTGTTCTGATCCCAGAGGGCTCTTCTTAGTTGTCTCTTTCTCGGGCTCTCTCTAGTAAACTAGCTGGTCTGCAGTTTAGCTTCTTGCTGCATGGAGCTACCAGCCTCCTCTTAATTACTTGCCACCAAAATATGCATTGTTTTCAAGAGCACCTTGAAGTTTGAATTTTCTCACACTCTTCCAAATAAAATCAGTTCCTCTGGGGAGAACTTCAGAGTTCTCTGTTTTAGTGGACTTTTCTCTCCCCCTGGGCAAAATCTCTGAGCCAATGCTCAAGCTGGGAACGGGGACTGTGTGCCATGTCTTTCAGAGTGATACCCCTGCTTTATAAGCAGGGTTCTGGAAGGGGGCATTAGCTTCTGCCTCTCAAACTGCCTCTCCTGGCATGGAACCCCCATGTGAGCTGTGTGAGCTGGGGCGAGGGTGGCTGGGGTCTCAGCACTCATAGCCTCCTGGATCTGGGATACGGCCTCTGTCCTATGAACAGTGTCTGAAAGGAAGAAAGGAGTTCCTAATCTCTCCAACCTGCAGGACGTACTTATCTCTAATTTAACGTTTGCAACATGAAGCTAAGGAGGATGAGAAATGCTGGCAGCTTGGCTCTCCCAGGGAGATCCATAGCATTTTTACTAAGATCTGGGGGAAGAGTGAGCTCCACCTTCTTGGCCATGCCCGCCCAGAGTGGAGCTTTTGTCATATTGAGCAGGGTGGGGGAGGCAGCAGGTCATGGCTCAGGTGCCACTGACTCTTGCTGTTCCTACCAAGATTTAGTAGGTTTTCTTGAATAAATGTTTCTTCATCTGCTGTATTCCTTTCAAACGATTTCAAGAAACTTTAAATTGTTGTTGTCTAAAATTTTCACCAGTTATCGTTGTTTCAGGGGGTAGTAAGTCCATAGGGCTCCTCATACTGCCATTTTCCTGGGGATGCATTTAAAGGCTACTCAGGTTTTCAACCATCTAATGTAGAACAACTCACCTCAAGAAGATAATTAAAATTTTAGTGTGATAAACATGAATGAGGTGAGCACAGCACAACATGGGAACACCTAGGAGAAACTCCTAACCAGTCCCTGAGAGGATAAGCTTTCTAAAGTAGAACTGAATTGTGAAAAATCAGGGAAAGAATTAAGAAGATGAAGATGAAAATAGGAAGAGTGCTGCTGATGCAGAAAAAAAGCAAGTGCAAATGCGCAAAGAGGAAGAGAGAATGTTAGGAAGTTTTATCACTGCAGCACTGGATGCAAAAGAAAGAAGTTGTAGTATTTGGAAAAATAGGCAGGAGATCCCAAGGTCTGGAATGCTTTGTGCTGGTAGATTCCTGCCCCCCCGCCCCGAAATTCTTAGTGTTCTTGTACATTCTGAGCCTTCTGAGTGAAGATGCTTGAATATTAAGTCCTAAAGACAGAAAACTCTGAAGAGGTTTAGAGACTTATCTCCCCTGGAGCCATTTGCTTGCATTTCAAGGCTGTAAAGGAAAGATAGAGACCCTTCTTTCTCCCCTCCCCACAGAGAAATTTGTTTACATTCCTTAGATGGGCAGATGTGCCAGCTGCTGCATGTAAGCGCCAAGTCTCATAATTTGAGGGTTCCTCTCTTGTAGTACAAAGCCTGCTGCACATACAGGTGAATATCTGGCCCTCACTGTGTAGCCTGTGGGGAATTGGGGCACCAGGGAACCAGAATTAACAAGCTCTATGAATAATAAATGGTCTGTTCTCTGGTCTAGAGGTCTGGTGTTCCTGTGTGTGTGTATCAGACCCTCAGTTTTGGACTTAATACCAAATATAAAAGCATTTGAACTATCAGCTAAAGACAATCAATAGCTATGAATATTTTTAAATATCTGTTTTCTGTTAACAGAAGTAATCATATTTCCTATACAATATTATAAAGATACAGAATTTATTAGTAGTAACAGTCTTCTGATACTCCACCCCTCAAGGACAATTACTATTTTACATTCAGAATTTTTAAGTATGGAAATAACATAACCATAGTTTTGTTTTAGGAAGATTGGTTTAGCAACAGTGCAGTGCAGCAGGGATGGGGCAGATAACAGGGGAGGTAGAGGAAACCCAGGCAAGAAAGGATGAGGCTGTATTAGTGGACATGTAGAGAATGGTGTAAATTAAATACCTAGAAAAAAAAAAAAAGACTCTCACTTACTTTGATGATTTGATAACACTAAAGCATTACTGTTAAAGTTTTAGGTGTAATAATAGTATTGCGGTATGTCAAAAAAAAGAATATAATTTTTAGAGATACATACTGAATTATTTACAAATGAAATTATATGATGTCTAGAATTTGCTTCAAAATAATGGGTGGGGAAGGGAGGGATGCGTAAAGGTACTGATGAAAAAAGCCACGAGTTGAGATTTTTGAAGCTGGTACTGCGGCTGATGCTGGATAAGGCACCCAGATGTCTCAGGAATGACTTACTCTTCTGGCTGCTGGGAGTGCAGCAGCAGGCAGTCCTCAGCTGTCAGTCCTGCTTGGGGGTTGTCTCAGCGGAAGAAAAGCGCCCTCATTAAAGGTCATTTCTTCTCAGGGCAGCCCACATTCAATGACTGATCACTGTAGGGGCCTCAGCCCTCTCTGTAACTTGGTACCCTTCTCAAGGGCTATCCCAGGTCCACACCTCCCATGTGGCTGCTGAAAGCCTCTGCTGGGACTGCATCTCAGCTCAGTTTCTCCCTCTGCCCACTTCTGCTTTTTCCTGTCCGTGTCTTTTTCCTTAAAACACTCCCTGATAAATGTCCTGCAATCTCCATCTTGGAGTCTACTTCCCCAAGAACCCAAACTGCAGAGACACTTTGACATCATTATACTATTCTCTTTACTTTTGTGCATGGTCAAAAGTTTCCATAATGAACATTTAAGAAAAGGACAGCATCAGACTGGTTGTGGTGGATAAGGGTAAAAGTGACAAGTTTTGTCTAGGGCTCCGATTTTGGAGACTGGGTGGCGCCATTCACTGAGCAGGTGATGCAGGAGGAAGAGCCATTTGGAGGGCATATGAGGAGTTAGTTCTTGCTTTTTTTAGGATTTTACTTTTTTTCATCATTTTAATTTATTTTTTAACATCTTTATTGGAGTATAATTGCTTTACAGTGGTGTGTTAGTTTCTGCTGTATAACAAAGTGAATCAGCTATACATATACATATATCTGCACATCTCCTCCCTCTTGCGTCTCCCTCCCACCTCCCCTATCCCACCCCTCTAGGTGGTCACAAAGCACCGAGCTGATCTCCCTGTGCTATGCGGCTGCTTCCCACTAGCTATCTATTTTACAATTGGTAGTGTATATATGTCCATGCTACTCTCTCACTTCGTCCCAGCTTACCCTTTTCCCCACCCTGTGTCCTCAAGTCCATTCTCTACATCTGCGTCTTTATTCTTGTCCTGTCCCTAGGTTCTTCATAACCATTTTTTTTTTAAGATTCCATATATATGTGTTAGCATATGGTATTTGTTTTTCTCTTTCTGACTTACTGCACTCTGTATGACAGACTCTAGGTCCATCCACCTCACTACAAATAACTCAATTTCATTTCTTTTTATGGCTGAGTAATATGGGGAGTTAGTTTTTGAGAGGCCAAACTTGACGTGCCTGTGGGGAGCAGTCTGGCCTGGACATGCACTATCAAGCTAGAGGTAACTCTAGGTAATGATGATGATAATGAGTTATATTACCTTGGTAATAACTCTAGGTAAGGTAATGATGACTTAGAACATCTTTAATGACCAATACAAACTTCACTTGTGTTTACCCAATTATAGCTGAACGTGTTAGAACCTCGTAGAATGGGAATTAACCCATTGATAGCAGGCACCACATTCTAGAATATTTCTATCACCTACAGGTCTCAGAATAACCCTGTCTTAGTCTGTTCAAGCTGCTAAAACAAAACACCATAAACTGGGTAGTTTACTCTTCATGGTTCTAGAGTCTGGAAGTCCAAGACCAGAATACTATCACGGTTAGTGCTAGCTGGTGAGAGCCCTATTCCTGGTTGCAGATTCCTAACTTCTCATTGTATACTCACTTGGCCAAAGGGGCGATGGAGCTCTCTGGAGCCTCATCAACAAGGGCACAAATCCCATTCATGAAGGCTCCACCCTCATGACCTAATCACCTCCCAAAGTCCCCACCTCTGAATACTGTTACCATCTTGGAGGTAAGGTTTCTACATATGAATTCTGAGGGACCACAAACATTCAAAACATCACAAACATCTTAGACTCAGTCAACCCTCGGTAATTGTTCTTTGAATAAATGGATTTCATTGGAAAAGCTAGAAAATGGTCCTGTTTTCCCCATTCCATTCCTCTGATCATTTCTTCTCTGGTCTCTGTCACACAAGATCCTCTCCTACCTTCAATCATGTGAGTTGTCCTTGTGCAAGCAGAGTGCAAGGTTTTAGGAAAAATCAAAGATGAATCAGGAACCTCACTCTGAAGGAACTAAGAGTTTGGTAGGGGAGATAAGACATGCATAAATGAGCACAGAACATTGAAAAAAAGAAAGAGAAGTAAGAAAGCAGAAGGACTAAAGGTGAAGTTCACAGGGATGGCAAATACCTGCAGTTGCATTTGCCTACAAAGAGGAAAAGCATCTACCCAGGCTGTGCTGGCTGCTCTCTAATTTGCGATGTTTGTAGCTTACTTCAGTTAGGTTTTTGCTTTAAATACTCTACCAGTAGGCTGGAGAATTAGGCAACAGCTTATAATGGCTTACCCCAAAGCTTGTCCAGTACTCCTATTAGAGTATGTCATAAGCAGTTGTGTGTGGAACCATTAAAAAAAAAAAAAAAAAGCCATTTTAAAGAGCCAGTAATATTATCCAGAAATATATGGAAAGGATCTCTACATAAAAATGTTTCATGTTTTAATATTTCAAAGATCTCTAAAAAATATGACTTAACAGCGTCCTAGACTACTTGTCAGGCTATATATGATGTTTCTCAATTTTAAAAAATGCTTTTGTGATTAACATTAAAGAACCCTACTCCTCCAATCCCCTGGCCTGCTCTCCTCCGTGAAGAATCACCAGTTTACAATGATTTATTAAGCATCCATAAGACCAAAAGAGTTGTAGTATTCTCCCTAAATAACACCTAATTAAGTACAAACATGGTGACTGAGGCTACAGTTCAGTTTTTATTAGGAAAAAAATATTTAGAACACCTCGGCCACTTGTTTTAAATGTTAAAATTAAAAGAGAATTTTTAATGTCCTACTTTTTAGGAAATTCTATTTGAGAAAACATGAACAATGGATTTTCCTGAAAAAAAACAATTTAAAATAAAATATAAGATGTAGTCAGCTGTGTATATACAAAAGCGAGGTTATTTATTCTAAACAATACCTGGCTCCGTACTTTACAACAAACTGCGCAATCATAACCTAATTACAGGAGACTTAATTAATGCCCCAAGCTTTTCTGTTTTCCAAACTCACCTCCCTTCTTTCCAAAAAGATTATCTTCTCCCAAAGGATTCTCAGGGTGCAGACACACAATAAATTCAAAAAACACGACAAGCAGAAAAAAACAAAACAAAACAACAATAAAAACCCACCCGGGGCAGCTAGTTTCCATTTAATTACTTAATCAAGCATATCTCAAAGTGCTTTATTTAAAATAAACGAAGCCTTTGAGTGCCTTAGGGGTAATATGTTGAAATGTACACACAACGTCTCTGTTTTTGATAAGATTAGTAGATAGGACTAATCTTTTTAAACTGTTGCGTAGTTACGCAATCTGTTAGGCGACCCCTCGACATTTCTCTGTTCTACAGAGCACAGCTTAACACTCCAAAGCATCTGCTTGGGAGTTCGGAAGACAGCTCTACCTACAGCAACACTTCACTTCTCCTTCCCTCAAATCTCCCCCCGCCCCGCAAACTCCAACATCCAAAACGGCCAAGTTTCAGTAAGGGCTGGCAGGCGAATCGAGCAGATCACGGAAGACAAAGGGCAGCGCGGGGCCCACGAGCCCCCGCCGGCCCTTCCGTCCGCGCGCGCGCGCATTCTAAAGCCGGGCGGGGCGGTGCCTCCACATGCGCTCCCACACGTAGGCGGGAGCCCGGAGCAGCAGCCACACGCGCCACTCCTGCCGCCTCGCGCCGGCCCCCAGTCCCCGGCCGCGGGCGGGGCTGGGGCTGCGGTGCTGAGCCCCAGCACGTACTGGGGCGTGGCCTGAAGCGCGGCGGGCGGGGTTTGGAGAAGTTTCTCCGGGCGGCTCACATTTCACATCGTCATCATGTAGGCACCAGGGCGCCAGGGCCAGAAGTGGTGCCGGTCCCTTCCGCATCCTTGCTGTTCTCCCCGCTGAGGGTCTGATCACTGCCGCTCTCAGGCACCTGTCTTTCCTCTCCGTGCCGGAATGGAGCCAAGACAAAGGAATAAAAGAAATTAAATAGTACAAGGAGATCGGGTGTCTGAGCAGCGTCTTGGATAATGCCGTCCACTACAGGTAAGAATAAAAATTATGTCCAAACCTCTTAAAGATGAGAACACAACAAAGCTCCGAAGGTGTTCATAGGAGGGTAGGGGTAAGGTGTAGTTTTTGTTTTACAGGGAGACTTTCATTTCACATCCTACAGATTGAACTAATTCTCTGTAAAATGATCTGGGACAACAGGCTCAGCGCTATTTAAAGGGAGGAAATATGAGCAAAGTGGTTAGTGGCAGACTTAAAAAACACCCCAGTAAAATTTTTTTTACATTTTTGTTGGTTCCACATAGCAACATGTTTGCAAAGGTTTTATTTAACCAAACACCGTTAAAAAAAAAAAAAGATTTTGTATTATTTGCAACTTGTTTTTGACGTTGCTACATTGGAAATTTGAACTTTTGGAATGTTGACGTTTCTGCAAAGCCAGTAACTTTAAGTTCATCATTTTTCCATTTTAGAGGTTGTAGGGGGAAATCAAACTTTAGAATGGTAGTTGTGAGGTTAATACAAACTTATAAGAAAATAAACGTGTCTAGCATGCTATTAAATCGAACAGCGCTGACAGAACCATACCATATATTCATCTGGCCTTTTATAGTTTATCAACATGCATTTCATATACCACCTCATTTACCTGAGTTAATGTCTCCGTAACCACACACCAAAATCTCTAGCTCAAACTCAAAACCCACTAAATAGCACCAGAACACCTCTTTTATTCATTTCCATTTGCCTTGCCATTCCTCTCATAGAACATCCCCTCAGTGTCCTCTATGATTTCATTACCATCAAGGGACAACCACTCTCAGTTCCCTACACCCTCATTGCTTTCTATTTGCCATTTAAACAGTTAATGGGAAAAGGGGTAAGGTTCTACTGGACTGGCTAGCACTTCACCAGCTCAGACACTCTGAATCATAGGCCATCTCTCCAAGACTGTTTTCTCATCTACAAAATGAGATACAGGTACTATTTCATAGTGTTTTTTTGAAGATTGTGAGATAACATGCAAAATGCTTAGCACAAAGTCTAGCATATAGCACTTAAAGACATTAGATTCATTTTAACTCCTAATCTAAAAGAAGTTGTACCTACCAATGGTAGGCTCCCTGGGGAAATCTTTTTCAGTTCCAGAGTTAATAGTGAGGCTTAGAACAAATGAACAAAATACACTAAGCTCCTTTGCCATACTTTTTTCAGATGTGAAAATAATACTGTGGTCATTCACTCACAGCACCGCCAGAGGAAGAAGTATAGGCATTCATCAGGAAGGGAGACAATACAGGACTGTAGCTGCTGGGGTAGAGCTATACTTGGCTCAAGGCATTATAAAGACATTTGTTACGGTCTCAAAGAGGCTGGCACAATGCTGGGAGGAAAGGCTGGTTCTGCTATTTAAAACAGCTTCAAGCACTCCAGGGGACTTATTTTCTGAATGACCAAGGGGTGGATACTTGTTTTCTCCCAGCTTTACCATCCTTTAAAGTGGCTTTCTCATCTAAATCATTGCTCCACAAGTCATTTTCCTACTCGTGGTCATTACAGATCTGACCATTAACTAATAATTGAAAACGATCAACTTCTAGATTTCAGCTTAAGTTAATTTGCTAACAAAATGAGCAGAATTTTAAATTTCAACCCGGGAATATTGAGCAACTACTTTATTCTAAAATACCACCTCTAGTACTATCTGTAATTAAATGCAGAAGCACTTTGGATCATAGTATTTGCAGTGAAATATGCCCCTAAAAACTTAGGTTGAGTCTTAATATTGTAAACTTTTGTTCCCATATTTTCATGTAACTGTAATCAGATTTTCTTCATTCTAAGATAAAAACAGCCTCCTAAGATCTGTGGCTTAATTTTGTCCAGGATATTTTGTTCCTCTAACCTCAGGATACAGGGCCTAAGGCTCTGGCACTGCCTATGTAATTTGTCCATAAAAATAATTTGCTGTTACTTCTAGGAGCAGGGATTCACTATCTCTTATTATATCTTTTTGTGCTGTCTGATTTTTTAAATTTTAAGTAGGAATGTATTACTTTTACAATCATAAAAGAAATAACGCTATTTCATTTTAAAAATATAGGGAAAAAAGCTATTTAAAAAATTTTAAATATACAGTATCATTAAGACAAAAACAAAGCAACGTTTTTCTAGTTTCATATTAGAGTCAGAAGACCTAAGTTTAAATCTTCGGTCTGCCACTATTACCTTTAAGGCTTGGACAAATCCTTTATCATTTGAGGTCTAAATTTCTTTATCTGTGAGTGACAATAGATCGGAGATCTTTAGAGCAGGGGTCCCCAACCCCTGGGCCACAAACTGGTACCAGTCTGTGGCCTGTTTGGAACCGGGCCCACAAAAGGAGGTGAGCGGCAGGTGAGCGAGCGAAGCTTCATCTGTATTTATAGCCGCGCCCCATCGCTAGCATTACCACCCGAGCTCCTCCTCCTGTCAGCATTATGGTGAGTTGCATAATTATTTCATTATATATTACAATGTAATAATAATAGAAATAAAGGGCACAATAAATGTAATGCGCTTGAATCATCCGAAACCATCCCCCACCCCCCAACCGTGGAATAACTGTCTTCCACGAAACCGGTCCCTGGTGCCAAAAAGGCTGGGGACCGCTGCTTCAGAGGAACTTTCTAGCCCATACAACATTATGTAACTATAATGTTCAGGATTTGCTTCATTCATCCCATTCATATTAGAACATTAAAATTTTGTTTTACTTTAATAAATTAAAGGTTCATAAATGACAAGTTTCTTTTCTAAAAGCATACTTTTCACAGTGGAACATTACGGTTTGTTATTATTTAACATTACATTTAGGGACACAGTATAACTTAAGGTGATGGCAATACGATAAATGTAGAAATAAACAAGAGTAATGTAATATTCATAAAATACTTAAACTGTTGGTAAACAATATTATGAGTTGGAGGTGTTAAAGCAAATATTATTTTAACATAAAAGCTGATCAAAGGGGGCCTGGTCCACAGAAGATGTTTATTTGATGTAACAAAACAATACAGTTAGTGTTAGATCCAACCACAAAGAGCAAAAGGAATGAAAAATTTGTACAATGCACATAGAAAAACAAGATGTTTACTGTGACAACTATATATTTCTAAAATAATGCTTTTCTAAAATTACTCAATTATTGAAATCTATATGAAAACAGAATGATGTTAATAGCGACAAAGTGCATAAAACCAAACATCAAATTTCGAGCAAATTAACATACTAGGCAATTTTGCTAACAAAGCATGATTTTTTTCTTGTTCACAATCTGCTCAAAATACCTTTATACCAACATGGTGGGCAGAACATTTAGGTTTAATATCAATTACACAATATTAGCATAAACTTCCACAACTACAGATAGGGTATTGTTTTCTTTTGAGCTGGCAAAGTGACTACAGAAACATCAGATCATTTCTCTGAATTGAGAATTTTATCCAAATAAATGCCACATACCTTCCAGATATATGCATATCTTTCTATATCATGTAAATGGCTTTACCCATTTAAATAATAAACCATACAAGCATTTAAGAATCATTATTATATGATTAACAATGTCATGTTCCAGGTTTAATAATTTCATAGGCCAAAAAAAATTTCTTCTTAAAAACTAGTTTTATAAATGCAGAATATATTGCATGAGTAACTGCTGGTATTTTTTTAAGAAAATATATTGTGCAATTGTGGCTACCATGTACTGCTGGCAAATCATTACTGTTTATGTAAAATGTGAAAAAACTGAGTAAAAATTTTTCAAACTCATCATGATGAAAGGTTACTTGCCTTCTTAAAAAAAAATTACATTGGCATCTTATTAAAAATAATTCGATAAGGGACAAACTCCCTAGCCCAAAATAAATAAATAAAAAGGTGCATTTTAAAAATGATGCTACTGCAATGCAATGGTTTAAATACCAAAGAACTGTGAAAATGTGCTGTGTGTGATCTGGCATTAAGGAACATACTAAAAAAGAGCATTAATGTAAATTAAGTAGAAAGGGGATCAAAATTGAACTAACCAAGTTTGTGCAGTATTTGTAGCCAGGCTTCTAAAATTAGATATAGAAAATATAAATAGACTGCTTTAGGTAATGAGCCACCAGTGTCCAAAAAAAGGAATGAGATTATGAAAAAGCTCAGTTAACTTGATCCAAAGCTCTGAGTAATTCTTCACCCTGCAGTAGGTTTCTGCTGCCTTGTATAGGAGCATTAACTTCACAATCATAACTGGTCAGCTGTGGTAATCCACTCTCATCCATTGATTGCCCCAGCAGTCTACATGCTAAATCTGAAAAACAAAGATACTTAAGTATTTATTCATCTAATCCATGAATATTATTAAACAGCCACTATGCACTAGGTATTGGGGAAAATAAGGCAAATAAGCGCTAGAAGGGTTTTAGTCTATTAGGCAAAACCACAATCGTGTAAACAAGAAAGTGCAAAAAATTGTTACTGGTGCTATGTCACAAATGTTTAAAGGTACCTTGAAGGCACAAAGGCGTGATAAACCAATTTAGAAAAAGGCATTAAAATGTGCAAGCTTCAGCTTCTATTCAATATTGATAGCACACAGACTCAGATCAAAGATAATTACTAAAAATTCATAGTTCCATCTTGAAATAGCTATTACTGATCAAATAAAATGCAACCTTACTTTTTAATCCTGCTAAGGAGTGAAAATCACTCTCAATTGGAGTAAAGCTCCTAAATAAAAGTTTCATATATTTTAATTCTCTTTGTGATGTTCAAGGGCAGAAAGAATAAACTAACCAGAGGGTATTAAAATAATTGTCTTTTGCTCCATTCCATTCTGTTCACTAGATTTGCATCCTTTTACGCGTTTCCAAGAAAGTGATGTAGTAGTTGCACGATCATCTGGTTGCTGTAATAATGTTCCCTAAAAACAGTAAAGTTATTTCAATTTTACTATGTTGAATTTTTTTTAAGTCAAAACTTTGAAATCAGTGTAAGTTTGCTAA